GACGTAGCTGACGTAGCTGGGTAGTAGCGACGTAGTAGCTGACGCAAGTAGGTACCCTAACGACGATCCTCTTTCCTCACATCTTCAAGCATACCAAAATAAGTATTACTTTTAGTCTTCCTGAATAGGAAATTCCAGAGACGCCTTTTTTTATAGACGATGTTTTCCTGCAGGCGTACACTGTGTGGACTAATTTCCGTAGACTGAATCGGCGTGTATTAATTCTGTGTTTCAACTTCATTCTACGTAGACTTACAACTCGTAGACTCATTTCTGTAGACGCAAAGTCAGTAGACTTTTTGCAGTAGACCTACAAACAATAGACCACATTCCCGTAGACCTACTGACTTCTAACCGCAACGATTGTGACTTAGGCCGTGTAAATATATTAACATCCTCTTGCACGTGGTTTTATTTTATTAAATAGCCTAAGTTGCTGAATGTCTCTAAATAAGGTAACTAATTAATTGCATATGTCGCAGGCAAATAGTGAAATCGGGCATTTTGTCAAATGCCTAGGCAGATAGTCAAATTTTGACGGTCTACAAAATTTTGTGAATTTATGATGAAGAGCTCACGATTATTCACTATTTTTGGAAAAATAACTCATCAAACCTACGAACTCTTTTTGTCTCTTCCTCTTCGATTGCTTCTCATATTTTTAAAAGTTGAAATACCAAAAAATCTGTATTTTACGACATGCTGAAAATTTCAAGATCAGTACGTCTCCTCAGGAGCTAAAAATTGCTTAAAACACTATTGTTTGTGCAAATTTTTACCGAGAATTTTTTTCTTGCAGGAGCAATGAATTATTTGGTCCAGAATTAGAAAAAGAATTAGAATTTCAATCTAAGTTAAAATATTTGACTATTCGCCCAGGCATTTGACAAAATGCCTGATTTTACAATTTGCCTGCGACACATACATTTTTAAAATCGGTTAACAGCTCAAATTTTGTTTTGATGAGTAACTATGTAAAACTTATCAAAACTAATGGTATCTACTTCTAACGATTCAAAATGTAACGATTTACCTTGATGGGTGATAATAAAGAGGTGTTCGTCATGGACAGGTTTGTTGTATTCTGCGCTAAGGGGCCTTTGTGCTGAAAGAAGCCTATCTAGGCGTAGGTACTCCGTGTAGAGCATGCCTTTCTTGCGGCAAGGGCTGTCTCCATTATTTTTCCTGAAACAAAGTTGTAATTTCTTACTGGATCATAAGAGAATATTCAATCTTTTTTCTTTTTTTTGGTGAAAGTATTACTCCTCTCGAGGCTCTCAGATAACTTCAGCAGGGGCGTAGCGTGCTTTGCGATACATCGATTTATCCGTCATTTAAACCCATGGAAAAGGATCGATATGTAGAGTGTTTGCAGAGAACACCCTAATAATCGATTCTTTGCCATAGCTTCAAATGGGGGAAATATCGATAACCGATCATTCACGCCTCGCCACTGAACTTCAGACTTTTGAAGTATTATGTAGCTTTATCTGAGTATCAAAACGATTCGGATTGAAGAGACACTGCTAAGAATGACCTCATGGCCAAAGTGAACTTCTTCCGACGATTTTCTAGGATCCACCCGGTTTTTTGTTACGTTAAGTAAGGGGCTTGGAGGACAAGGCGCATTAGTGCAGGTTTTGAGAAAAAATGGGATATTAATGATTTCAAGTAAAACTAGTCTTAATGCACACTTTGTGAACAATTCGCTCCCAAATTCCAATTTTTAAGCATCTAAGTCAGTTTGAAATTTCTCTCCGCCATTTGGATCCACGGAATTTCGAAAATTCAAAAACTTATTTCTCTCGATTGCCAAAACTTCACCTATGCGCCTTGTTCTCAAAGCCCCTTAATTAAAGTGTTCATTTAAACAGGCCAGTTATTATTTTTCAACCTTTCAGCACGTGTTAACAAAAAAACCCGGCCTTGTTCATAATTTTTGGAACTTCAGGATCTCTTGAAGCTAAGTACCAATATATAGTGATAAAGTTCGTTGAAATAATGCTAAAATAGTTGCTTGAAGTTATATTGGAAAGAAGTTAAGGCTGTCGTTGAAGATCCGAGAATGTCTCTCCATGTTCACAACGTCATCCCTCTAAGGTAAGGGCTAAGGGGGTATCTTGATTTTTGCATAAGCCTTAGAAGGTATGGATGCACGTGTAAAACGGGGCTCACGTAAAATTGAGATACGGTCTTATGTTAGGGGG